GGGGGGGGGGGGGACGGGGGGGCGGGGGAAGGGGAGAACAAGGGGGAAGACGACACAGGAGCGTATTTGTAGTGAGGGATACTAGAGACAGTGGTGCTGGGAGCTTTGGAGACAAAGATGCTAGTGGGTCTCCAGCTTGTGAGAATGTGGGACGAGCCCTGAAGGCCCCACAGGAGTCCTTTAAGTTGTCCCGTGAAAAGAAGGTCCCATGATGGAATAAGTTTAGAAAAATGTAGTGGAGGATTCCTAGCTCACCCCCTCCTCACTTCGGAGCCCTAGAACTTTGGCTTATTAAAAGCTCTGAGAAGTCCTGCCCTAAGGAACCCTATTTATCCCTAACACAGAATTTCCCAACCATACTTGTCCACAGAAATAGACTCTAGCTTTTAATATCCCAGGGAGTCCACTCTGAGTATTCGACCTATAAAGAAGGGATCCAGATGGCAGATACTTGTCCTTCCCTTTCTCTCCCTGTCACACCACTTTCCTTTTCCTTGAGGAGGGACTAGGTTGACTATCTATTTGAGTCTACTTCTGTATTCTCTTACCTTCATGACGGATTTCCAGGGCCGTGGGAGATGGTGTATGTGGGCTCTCAGAGTGGCTGGAGAGACTAGAAGGGGTGGGGTGGGTGCGTAGTTGGAGGTAAGGCAAAGCGTCAGGCCCAGACACCCTCCTTGCCCAGCTGCTTGGGAAAGGGAAGGTATGGAGTGTCCACTGCTTGGGGACAGGGCGTGGAGTCATGGCGCTCTGCTTGCAGGTGAAGGAGGAGTGCCGCCTGCTCAATGCCCCCCCCGTGCCTCCCCGGGGTGCCAATGGCAGCGGCCGGCTCTCGGGCAGCCCCCCGGTGCCCCCACGCTTCCCCAAGCTGCAGCCCGGCCGCTCACCTAGCTCCAGCCTCCCCTACTACTCGTCTGGCCTTCAGGACGGGTGAGCCCCTGCCTGCTCTTGGTGCTGGGTCCTCCTGCGGGGGACTGAGGAGGGGAAGGGCGGGGAGAGGGGGGCCGGTGCTGAGGGAGAGGAAGAGTCCAGGCCTGTGGTTCAGAGCGAGCAGGTTCTCGAGGGTGCGGGGGGCTGGGGCCCACGGCTTTGCTTTCCACCTTCCTGGTCCACCTTGTTCCTAAGTGCTGACGATTGGATGAGAACACGGCTCAGGTTCCCTTCAGGCTGGGATTGGCCGCAGGATGGACTGCTCCTTGCTCTATTAAAATTTTTATGTAATGCAGTTAAGTTTAATTTTTCCTGGGGTGGGAAAGGCTGGAAGACAGACCAGGGCAGTCCCAGGGGGTCTTGGGCCTTGGGGGCTGGGGTGCGAGCGGGTAGTGCTGAGGTCCCAGTGGCCGTCTCTGGCCTGGCAGAGCGGTTTGCTGTGTCCTGCATGTGAGCCTGTGGCGTTTCCCTCTTGCACTGGCTGACCCTTCCGTGTGTGTGTCTCTGCCCACAGGACAGGGTCTCGCAGTGGCAGTGGCTCTCCGTCACCGGACGCCTACTCCCTTTATTGCTACCCATGCACCTGGGGAGACTGCAAGGCGGGCGAGTCCTCCAGCCGCCCACCCCCGGGACCCCTGCCCTCGACCACGCAGCCCAGCCAGGCCGCCCGGGCCCTTGCAGAGCCCCTGAGCGGTCGGGCCACCTCCCTCTTGGGAGCGGACACCCCCGTCAAGGCCTACCACAGCTGCCCGCCTCTGTTCAAGCCCTCTCACCCCCAGAAACGCTTTGCTCCGTTCGGAGCTCTCAACCCCTTTTCGGGGCCTGCCTACTCCTCCGGCCCTTCAGCGGCCTCCTCTTCTGGGCCCACCACCAGCTCGGGTCCCCTGGCTACCTCCAGCCCTGCTTTTCCTCCAGGCCCGGGCTCAGCAGGCCAGCCCTACTCAGCTGCTCCCACCTCGTGTCCCACCTCCTCCTCCCCCCCCTCTGAGTGGCGGGAACCAGCCCTGGAGCCCTTTGATCCCTTTGAGCTGGGCCAGGGCAGTTCTCCAGAGCCCGAGCTGCTCCGCTGTCAGGAGCCCAGAGCTGTGGGGGCACCCTGCCTCTCGCCACTTGGACCCAAGGCCTTTGAACCGGAAGGTTTGGTGCTGCGGCAGGTCCCCACCCCTCTGTCACCGGTGGCCCTGCAGGGGCCCGAGGCAGGCGGAGCACGGCTCCTTCTCACCCAAGGGCGCTTGGAAGGGCCTCCTGCCAGTCCCCGGGAGGGGGCGGCAGGCTGGGGAGGCCGGGATGCCTCCTCCTGGCAGCCCCCTGCTGACCTGTCTGCGCTCTCCCTGGAAGAAGTCTCTCGAAGTCTGCGTTTCATCGGGCTCTCAGAGGATGTGGTGAGCTGCTTTGCCCGAGAACGCATTGATGGCAGCATCTTTGTGCAACTCAGTGAGGACATCCTGGCGGATGACTTCCACCTCACCAAGCTGCAGGTCAAGAAGATCATGCAGTTCATCAAAGGCTGGCGGCCCAAGATCTGAGGTTCCCGGCTTGTAGCTGCACAGCGGGAACGCTGACGCGGAGGCCGCGGGGGGTTAGCCCCCGGGTCTGCTGGGGGGGGGGGCAGCGCGCCCAGAGGAGAATCTGTGCCCAGACTGAGGCAGCCAGGCAGCCCCTCCGAGTGAATCCAGGGGAGACACACTTGGAAATGGGGACGTCTGGCCTCTGTGCCAAGTGAGTGGGGAGGGCGCTGGAGGCACCAGTGCGCACCTGGGCCTGGGGACACGTTGCTGTGATTCCCACGGTGGGGGAGGGGGTGTTCATCATCCCGTCCTGATGCAGAGCTTCACAGACATCTGGCACTTCTCAAGCTTGTAGGTTCCGGTTAGAGACAAGGGAAGAAGGTCCGTAATTTAAGCACAAACTCCCCAAGTGCCCCCGCCCTCCTCTTGTGCTCTGTGGGCTTTTGGCCTTAGCTGCCCCAGAGTCTGGGGGCCGTTTCTGTATGTCTGGGAGGCCCTTCCTTTCCCCTTCTATGAATTCGGGCCCTGGCCGGGCTGCTCAAGGACAAGCCGGGTTGGTGGGTGAGGACTTCGGGGGGTGGGGGCGGGAAGCCCAGCTCTGCTGCTGCCCTGCTCGTCTAGTGAGGGAGGCGGATGTTCCCCTGCCGTCGCCAGTGCCCGGGCTTCTGCCTCCTGTCCTGCCGGGTGGGCTCCGGTCTGAGAAGATCCTCACTCCGTGGAAGAGCAGGTAGATTGCGGTCAGCTGCTCCTGGATTCTGGAGGCAAGTGGCCTTCACTCACTTGCGCCCGTCTCCTGCCCCCTTCACTGGACTCTGGCAAACACATGCTGGCCTTCTCTGGTTTTCTGCCACCGGCACAGGTGGGTTGGGTGGGAAAGAGAAAGCACCGTGGTTTGGGAAGACGGGCTTTCTCCCGGCTCCTGGAGCTCAGGCCTCCTGCGCGTGTTCGTACGCCTCCTGTCAGGTCTCCAGGGCCTGGCTGGTGGGCACCTGGAGCAGGCTGGCCACTGTGGCCAACCACCCACCTGCCCGGAGCCGCACCAGCTCCCCTCATGCCACTGGCAGCAAGGCCCCAGACCAACCAGCCTTCTCTTCCGCCTTACCTAGCCTACCTAGATATTTATTTCCTCTGTTTTTCTCTTAAGTGTAGTGAAGCCATGCTGGTGCTCGAACCCCGAGCAGATGCCTCCGGCTTCAGGGGAAGGGGAGTCAGGAAGTCGAGCACACACACTGTGAGGCTGAAGCATTGGGTTTCCTTGCCGATCACTCTCTGAATCCTCAAGGATGCGCGAAATAAATGCTAGAGCACTGAACAGTAGTGGGGGTGCGACTCTGGGCATCGATACTCTTCCTCTGGAGGGCCCTGGGGCCTGACAGGTACAAGGTGTAGGCCTCCGGGGAAGGGGAGGACTTTGGAATGGGGTGTGCCTGCGGCCCACTCCTGGGTTCCCTTCTGAAAGCCCCTCCTCAGCCCCTACCCTACAAGAACCTTCCAACTCCCACCACCGTTTCGCCCTAGTTCCTACCTTCTAGTGCTGCTGAGTGGAAAGCTCCATGTCACCAGCCAGGGCCGTTTAAGTTCCTGCACTGACCAAATGCCTGCCTGAGGCTCTCCCAAAGCCCCCATTTAGAAGCCCGTTCCTGGCTCTGGTGAGATCTGTTCTCTACTTTCTACTGGGGTCATCTGAAAATCCCAGTGCACAGATGCTTTGGTTTTAGGGTCTGGCTTTGTAGCAACCGTGAGTAATGCAGGGAGCCAGCGCGACGCACTCTGCCTGCGGGAACTTATGGTTCTGCACACGTGCAGTGTGGGCCCCTCCGCCGACCCGGGCAGGAGCCCCGAGGTTGTTCACACATACTGGGAGTTGCTGCTACCAGGATAGGAGTGGAGGGACTCTCCAGCCCCGAGGGCACTGGGAGGGCGGACAGGAGGCTCTGGAGTGCCGTGGCGCCGGTGGGTTGGCTCGGCATTCCTTGAACGGCTTACTGCGGGGTCTCTGATGATCCATCCATCCTTCCATGCTCTGGGGCAGCCAAGACAGGATCTACTGACCAGGAAAATATTCTCTCCTCTGCTTCACTCCAATGTTAACATCCTGAGAACATGTGGGTCCCATCATAAAAAGAACTGGGTGCCATTGTGCTACAAGGCATTAGTCTGGGGAAAGAAGTGTCTTAAAACCTGGCCTCCAAGCCTGTGGCACTTCACCTGCTCTGGCCAGTCAGGCCTCTCCCCCACGGCAAGCAGAAGCCTGCCAGAGTGTGTCAATACGACCAGATTTCGAAGGCTTTAGCACGTCAAGTCCCCCTTTATCGTCACAGTCTCTCTCTCGAGGTGCTGCCTAGAACTCTCCCAACACATTCACAGCCCAAAAGCCCAAGGCTTGATTCTGGCTCCTTGAAGGGAGGGGTTTAAAGCAGGAGGGCAAAGACAGAAGAAAAAGGAGCAGGCAGGCAGAGAGGCTGTTAGAGTTTGGTTTTTATTGTTATCACGTACGTGGCTGGGTGCAGAACTGCCCGGGCCACCACCAGCCACCACCGGCCCTGGTGGAGCAGGCAGCAAGATGGCTCTGGAGACACCGGCACTCAGGGTGTCAGGACTTATGGGTTCCTCCTAAAATGAAGTGCAAACTCATTCACAGCCAGACTCCACCAGGAGGGAGAGACTGTCCTAACTGAAGGCACTTTAGTCAGGGTGCACACCCAGTGCCAGAGTTTGTTTGCCTTCTGGTTCCTCTGACACGTCTAGGTGCCCCTCTGCCAGAGAACCAGCGCCGCTGGCTGGGCGGGGGCCTGCTCACTGGCAGAACTTCCTGTTCGGGCTGTTAGCATGGTCGATGAGCAGTTGGCACGGGGTGAACTGTTTTCCGTAGACGGCCTCATACTTCCTGAGCCGGTCCACTACCTTTTGAGCACCGTGCAGATCCACGAAGCGGAAGGGCCCTGGAAGGAAGAACAGGAGATGACAAAACGAGCTCTGGGATAAAACAAGCTACCTTCCCAACTTGCAAGACCAACCTCCAAGACATGGGGGAAAGCCGAGCCCGAAGACAGCTCCGATGTCTCCCTCTGCTGGTGTGGCCAAGATCCCTTCCTGCAGGCACAGGACGGCCTCATTCACGAATCTGGTCAGCAGGCGGTACTGGATGTCTTCGTCAGAGGAGCTGCCAACAGGGAGACACATTCGGGTAGCTGACGTGTCACAGAGCCAGGATGCAGGTGCGGGGATGGATGAGGGCTGGTGCTGCCGCTGCTCCGAGGGCCAGCCCGCACAGAACTTGCACTGTGTAGAGAAGGGGCCACTGGGAGGCCAGCCTTGCTCCTCGAAAGATGGCTCAGAGCTTCCTGCCCTAACTAACCAGAGACTGGCGCCCACTCTGCAGGGCTGGGCAGACTAGACGGAATCTCTTGCCACCATCAGCTGTCAGTTACGAATGATAAAGAGGGTTTGGGGTGGGGGTGAAGGGGCCTAGGATGACAGTTTTTCTAGGTGCTCGCCAGACCTTCCGAGGAGAGGCTGGAGCAGGGGTCTTCCCAAGGCTCAGCTACAGTCCTTACCCTGATGCCGGGCAGAACACGAGATGGCATGTGGAAGGGCAAAAGTATTCTGGTCAGGTAAGGGGATTATCACAGGGAAGATGGAAGAGGGCTGAGAAGCTCTGGGCTGAAGAGAAACAGCTTTCCACACTATCAGCCACTAAAGTTAACTCACACGTCAGACTTTGGGGGCACCTTCAGACTTGCCAAAATACCGTCCATGTCAGAATTCACATTCTTATTCTTCACACCCTCTTGGTAGATATAAAAGCCCTTCCCAGACTTGCGACCTAAAAGAAGCCAGAAAAGGGAGAATTACCAAATCTCAGAGACTGGGCCTGCGAATTCTCTTCTCTTCTCGTCTGCTGTAAAGCCCCAGCCTCTCAAACTGTATTCCTGAATGTGTCTGTCTAGCTAACCCTAGAAATTTAGTGTGTATTTGTCTGCAGAGTTGGCAAAGAAGGAAAAATGATCTTGTGTTTCTTGGGGCTTGAAAATCTGTGTATGTGGATGGGAAAGGCCATCTGGGTGAGCTTTAATGTCCAGATATGCAACACCAGGACCTAGTATATGCCCTGGTCCTGGGGTTGATTCTGCTGCTCCTTTGCCGAGAGAGAAAGCCACCTCTGGTGGGCCTCAACCATATTCTCTGTGTTCAGAGGCCTTACTTTCTCCACATAGGTGGCCAGGCAGCATGGTAAAGTCTGGGTGCCGAATTTGCTCCTGCAGGATCACAGATGTGTTAGAGGCCTTGGGCCAGATGAAAATGCCTGGCTTGCATACCTTGGGCAATGGCAGAGCCTCAGGCCAGGGTTCTGCCTAACAGGTTGTCATGAAATCATTTAAAAAATTCCCCATGATAGTGGGCTCTGTGTTTAGGAAGAACTCTCCCATATGGGCCTTCTGTAACTGTGTGTCTCAGGAAACTTTGTTCTTATGGGGTTACTTATGTTTCTCTGAGGCTACTCACCCAGGAAGCCCCTGGACACCATCTGCTTCAGCAGTTCTAGGCTTCCACCTCCAAACCGCTCCCCAAAGGCTTTGCCCAGATCTTCCGCTACGTGTTTTGCTACATCCACACCCACTTCATCCACCAGTGTAGCAGCACCCACAGGAAAGCCAAAGTTTGTGGTAAGGGAATCCAGCTTCTTAGGCTCAACTCCTTCCTGAATGGGAGGTAAGCAGGGATCTTAGGGGAGGAAGGCATTCCAGACCCTCCCACAAGGGCTCTCCATGCTGGCCCTCTGAAACAGGGCCGGTCCACCACCCACTTCTCTCCTGGGTGCCACCTGCCCAGGCCCAGGACTGGGGCTGTCCCACTCAGGGAAAGCAAAGGAGGTTTGGGAGCCACCAGGGGGAAAGTCTGAGCCTTCCCTAATCCACAGGTTTAGGACTGAACAACTTCATTTAGAGATGAACACATTACTCATTTCCTTCTTGAATGTAGTAATGAGATTCCATGGCAGACAGGGCGAAGTTTCC